CCCCTTAAAAACAGTTGTAATTAGCCAGGCAACAACTCAATCACCGGTCGTCTGCCTAGGTTAATACTCTCCACCACCTTATGGGCTGCCTAGCTAATTACACTCTTGAATTTAGGGCCATACCATTGACATCATTGTTCATTCCAATTACTTTTAAGGGGAACAGACAACGTTTTCTGGGGTAAAGTTATGATAATTGGTAATTGGTTAATTGTCTTTTTTGCTGCATGATTGATATTGCATGCATTTACACTTAATAATAATACAATAAAATTAGCCTTTTGTAATATTTATGCATGGTACTTTATGTAACCGTTTTGTGGTGGACATCTTGTTCACATAATTTTAATTTCCCTTATGCAACCCCCAGCCATTAACCACATAAAGCTGCATCTTTTAATTCATCTTAGCAAACAGTTGCAGGTCCCAGGAGAGTGTTTTCGTGGGTTCTTTTCTCTGTACGTCTCCTGTCCATGTGCATGAAGCCTCATTCTTAAGGAACAAGGTTTTCTCCACTTCGCTAACAGTTCCTACTAAATAATTAATAAATTAGATCCAAGTAATAAATTCGATCCACCACTCTCTCACTTCAGGCCTAAACCATGGACTTCAAGAATTTCAGTCTGCAGCTTCTCAATCAGTACAGCCACAATCGCAACAGTACATCTGATCTCAGCGTCCCTCTTTGGTGCATAGGCTGAAAGTCCTCCAACTGGAACTCACTGCAAGCGGAATAAAAGTACAAATAGTGCAGTCACAAGGGTAAAAAAACCAAAAAACAAGCTGCAAGACAGATATCTTCTAGTTCCTGGAAATGGACTTTAACCTCCTCCCGCCTGCCGTATAGGGAAATGACGGATGGGCAGGAGCTCTCTTGTTCTGGGAGGACATCAAATGATGTTCTCCCACTCTAGCTCCACATGCACGCCCAGAGGATCATTTATCGCAGAAAAAAGACAATGACATAGGCTCTACCATGTGATCAGCTGTGTCCAATCACAGCTGATCACATGTAAACAGGAAAATGCCGGTTATTGGCAGTCCTCTCCTCATTCTGGCAGCACGTGAGGAGAGGAGAGCCAGTAAGCAGCAATCCTCAGAGGGGACATCTACACTGTTAATCAGGGCACTAATCATCAGTGCCCTGTTTATCAGAGCAGCACCATCAGTGCTGCCTTTCAGTGCCCATCATTGCCACATATCAGTGCCCATCAATGCCACATATCAGTGCCCATCAGAGCTGCCTTTCAGTGCCCCCTAGTGAAGCCTGTCAATGCCCGTCAATTCCTCCTCATCAGTGCAGTCTATCAGTGCCACTTATCAGTGCCAGTTAGTGCCGCCTATCAGTTCTCATCACTGCCGCCAATCAGTGCCAGTCAATGCCGCCTATCAGTGCCACCTTTCAGTGATGCCTGTCAATGCCAATCAGTGCCGCCTATCAGTGCCTCCTCATCAGTGCAGTCTTTCAGTACCTAACAGTGCCACCTATCAGTGCCGCCTATCAGTGCAACCTATCCGTGCCAGTCATGTGCCACCTATCAGTGCCACATAGTGACCATCAGTGCTGCCTTTCAGTGCCCATCAAGGATGCCTGTAAGTACCCATCAGTGCTGTCTATCAGGCCGCCTCTCAGTGGAACCTCAGCAGCACACATCAATGGAGGAGAAAAATTACTTTTTTTCAATATGTTATAACAGAAACTAAGAAAAACGTTTTTGGTTTGTTTTTTAAAACTTTTTGTCTTTTTTAGTTTGTTTAGCAAAATAGAAAAAAAAACCAGTGGTAATTAAATACCACCAAAGGAAAGCTCTATCTGTCTCAAAAATTGATAAAAATTTGGTTTGGGTACAGTGTTGCATAACCACGCAATTGTCATTCAAAGTGCGACAGCTGAAAATTGGCCTGGGCAGGAAGAGGGTGAAAGTGCCCAGTAGGCAAGTGTTCAAAAAGTATGACCGCTATATCCCTGCCCAGGTTGCACCTGAAAAGGCTTTTTTAGGGGATCAATCCACTAAAGAAGCCTTTTCAGGCAAATTCTTTTAAGTTGTATCCTGAATGTGAATTGTGAAAAACTTTTAATTTCTACACTCATCTGTGCTTTGATTCTGCTTACATTGAGTTCCATCTGGAAGACTTTCAATGAATCCACCAGAGAGGGAGCCTGAGATGTGGTTTGTGGCTGCACTGACAGTGTGTGGATACACAGATCTTGGATTCCACATTGTAGGCCTGTAGGGAGAGAAGTGTATTCAATTTCTTAACCAGCTGGAAATGTAATTTAACATTGAAGCAAGGAACCTTAGGATTAGAAGACAACCTCTTTACCTGTATTAAAGGATTCTCTGCTGTGAGGAAAATCTGTGTAGCTGCTGAATAAAATTTCTGTTGCTATCAGTTTCTACAACTAGATTTTTTTTTTACTTGGAAGGAATTAAGCCATAATACACAATGTGAAACATTTCAATAGATCAATTTAATAAAAGAGAAAAATAAATCTATAAACATTACAATATGAACAATAAGGCGAGCTGAATAAATTTGGGTGTCCTAACACTAGGTAGGTGACAAAAGCACAATTGCCTCCCTATTTCACTGTAACAATTAGAGTTTGCTCCATTTTTCTGATAGGGGGAGAGAGGGGTGTGATGTGGAAATGGTGGGGTGAACAGGAAGTCTGAAGGAGCGGTGAAGGGAGGCTGGGTGTATTGGAAGATAAGGGGCCTGGGCAAACAGAGAGGTAGGGAGCACAGGGCACAACTAGATATTTTAATACAGCACAAGATTGTGTCTAGGTTACTACAGTAGTAAGATGACTCTTTTAATGGAAAATAGTTGACACTTGACTTAGGCAGTGGGATCCAAGGTGGAGAAGGCAGTGTGCTTTTTGATATGGGTTTCCTACACTAGTTGCTTTTACAAGCAGGTGTCTCATCACATAGTGGATGCAAAAGAATGTTACATCACTTCCGCTTTCAATGTGAAACGTGTGGTGACTTTCACACTTGCAAATCATGTACTGTTTCCATTTTGTTATCCAACCCTTGTGTATTTTTAGTTAGATAGAAGATAGATATATTGTGAGAACTAGCATCACATGGTAGAGTTTTTTCAGCACACAGCCACTCGCTTCTTCTTTTTTTTAAAGGCCTTTTAGCCCAATTTTATTTAAAAGAAAGTTCAATAACATGCTTTCCATGTAGGGGTATCCATCATCAAACAAATGCAACAAATATTCAGCCTCCTGGCTTGTACACAGATTTACGTCTGTCTCCTGCAGACTCTTTCCAAAAAGGTTGTTTCGCACACAGCTAGCCACTAGCACACAGCTACTCTGGCTTCCACCTCTCCTAGGTGAAGCCCACCTGACTCCAAGGCAGTGTCCTCCTGTCTGCCGGGGTGGAGCCCAGAATCATGGTCAGGCCTCTATGAAAAGGCCTGCACACACCTGTGCAATCAGTGTGCTGGGGGTTCTAAAAACACGGACCCCGGATTGGAGATTTCATCCCTCCCACATCACTTGGAAATCTCCAGGCTCCAGATCCCAAAACGGACTTTACAAATAAATGAGGAAACTGAAAAGCCAGTTTTGCTTGCTCTGCATTAAATAAACCCTCTGGAGCCCCTCAACCTATCTGGTTGAGAATCCAGGGATATAAACTTGATTTCAACCGTGGCAGGATACCGCACTGCCATAATATATAATATATTGCAGGTAGTATTGGTAAAGTGTGTAGTGCTATCCAGTGAGTCCACAACAGTCAAAAACTATGTTTTAGGGCTTGTTGGCCCACTTATATCAGCAGCGTAGGGGTTTTCATTATCAGTTGCTCAGGCCTCAACCTAAGACCAACCAATACATGTTCAAGCTGACAAGCTTCATCAAAGTGATCCCTCGCTAGCCAGTCCCTACTCTGTCATGCATGTTGCCAGCCTCTTATTTGCTGAAATAGCATACTTTTATGAGAATGAGAAAGGACATATAGTGACAATATAGGATAAACAGATGCAACTGGAGATGAAATAGACCAAAATCCAGTAATGCACGTTCACAGTGGGAATAGACAAAGAAAAAGGTTAGGAGGGTGGACAGCACCAGCACATAACATTATTTAACCAAATGTGTCCCCAAAGAAACCACCAAAATGAATTAAAATATAATTCACAGGGGTTGTGTAATATATATATATATATATATATATATATATATATATATATATATATATATGCGCCATTGCATATGCTTTATCTCACAGAAGTGAGTACACCCCTCACATTTTTGTAAATATTTGATTATATCTTTTCATGTGACAGCACTGAAGAAATGACACTCTGCTACAATGTAAAGTAGTGAGTGGACAGCTTGTATAACAGTGTAAATTTGCTGTCCCCTCAAAATAACTCAACTCATCACACAGCCATTTAATGTCTAAACTGCTGGCAACTAAAGTGAGTAGACCCCTAAGTAAAAATGTCCAAATTGGGCCCAAAGTGTCAATATTTTGTGTGGCCACCATTATTTTCCAGCACTGCCTTAACCCTCTTGGGCATGGAGTTCACCAGAGCTTCACAGGTTGCCACTGGAGTCCTCTTCCACTCCTCCGACATCACAGAGCTGGTGGATGTTAGAGACCTTGCGCTCCTCCACCTTCCATTTGCGGATGCCCCACAGATGCTCAATATGGTTTAGGTCTGGAGACCTGCTTGGCCAGTCCATCACCTTTACCCTCAGCTTCTTTAGCAAGGCAGTGGTCATCTTGGAGGTGTGTTTGGGGTCGTTGGTTTCATGTTGGAATACTGCCCTGCAGCCCAGTCTCTGAAGGGAGGGGATCATTCTCTGCTTCAGTATATCACAGTACATGTTGGCATTCATGGTTCCCTCAATGAACTGTAGCTCCCCAGTTCCGGCAGCACTCATGCAGCCCCAGACCATGACACTCCCACCACCATGCTTGATTGTAGACAAGACACACTTGTCTTTGTACTCCTCACCTGGTTGCCTTCACACACGCTTGACACCATCTGAACCAAATAAGTTTATCTTGGTCTCATCAGACCACAGAACATGGTTCCAGTAATCCATGTCCTTAGTCTGCTGCTTGTTTCCAGCAAACTGCTTGCAGGCTTTCTTGTGCATCATCTTTAGAAGAAGCTTCCTTCCTTCTGGGACGACAGTCATGCAGACCAATTTGATTCAGTGTGCAGCGTATGGTCTGACCCCCGCACCCCTTCAACCTCTGCAGCAAAACTGGCAGCACTCATAGGTCTATCTCCCAAAGACAACCTCTGGATATGATGCTGAGCACGTGCACTCAACTTCTTTGGTTGACCATGGAGGCCTGTTCTGAGTGTAACATTTCCTGTTAAACCGCTGTATGGTCTTGGCCACCATGCTGCAGCTCAGTTTCAGGTCTTGGCAATCTTCTTATAGCCTAGGTCATCTTTATGTAGAGCAACAATTTTTTTTTTTTTTTCAGATCCTCAGAGAGTTCTTTGCCATGAGGTGCCATGTTGAACTTCCAGTGACCAGTATGAGAGAGAGCGATGACACCAAATTTACCACACCTGGTCCCCATTCACACCTGAGACCTTGTAACACTAATGAGTCATATGACACCGGGGAGGGAAAATGGCTACGTGGGCCCAATTTCAACATTTTTACTTAGTGGTTTAGACATTAATGGCTGTGTATTGAGTTATGTTGAGTGGAAACTGTTATACAAGAGAGAAGGTTCTTTAAAAATCAAAAATCTTGTCACACAGTTTATAATTTGCCTAGAAGTGGTTTTTTGGTGCTTACTGCTCTCTCTATTGTTACTTTCTCATCTTTCCAGGGAGGCACTGGTGTTGTAGCACATACCTGGTACCATATCCATTATAACTCTCAATCAGTAACCCCACACTACTGCTGAATGACTTCCTTCCTTATTTCCAATAGATGATATCAGAACAACATTTATTTTAAAATATTTATAATACAGTAGTTGCTGTCAACATTTCTTATACAAAGAGAAGAACCCAGCTTTCAAATTGTCAGCCTTGCTTCATAGGTTTCATTGGAAATCTGTTGGACTCTCTGTTTGACGGTTTGCCTGTTCTGCTGTTTGTTTTAGGAGTGGCAGAATTTTTTGCCAGTATAATAAGAGGGGTCGGGCTGTCAATTGTTCATTCGGATATCACTTTGTGTCTGTGGAACCCTTCTCTGTGTACCAGAGGCTACTGTCAGTGCTTTAGATGCAGACTGAAGCTAGCTGTCAAAGTGACAGCTGTACCCTGCAAATTACACCAGGAGAGCAGCTATCCTATGTAATCTGAATTGCTGGGCTGTCTACTTGAGAGCCAGGTCCTGCTCCGTCACCATCTGATACATAAAGCAGAAGTGAAAGTGAAAATATCACACATTACGCAGAGAAAGCCTCTGTTTGTGATGGAAGTGCTTTTAGTGGCTTCTTCACATAGATCAGAACCAGACAACCCAGCCCAGGTTTTCCAGGCCACCTTGGTTGTGTGGGTTCTGAACTGGATTTTCCATTCCACTTGTGACCACCAGCAGGTGTTACTGTATAAATAAAGCAGGACTGGAGCAAGAGGTTGCTCTTGGCCTGGGACTCAGGAAGCCATACTTGCGAGAGATCTGTGGATATGAAAGTTTGCCTTGTACAAGAAAGGAAAGGTTTGCACTATGTTTTGTTTGGTTGGTGACTGGGAGAAGCCTTTCACATGTGAGATAGGAATCTCTTCTGTTTAGTTAGTGCCTGGATGGCAAGGAGTTTTTTCTCTGTTTTTTGTTTTGTTTATTTTCCATGCAACCTTTTATATAAAACTGGCTACAAGCCAGACTTAAGAAAAACCTGCCTCCTGGACTGTATTTTTCCCAGGAAAGGTGATCCCCATCTGAGATAACCCCCCAATATATATATATATATATATATATATATATATATGTGTGTGTAAGTCAAAAAATTAGAATATCGTGCAAAAGTTCATTTATTTCAGTAATGCAACTTAAAAGGTGAAACTAATATATGAGATAGACTCATTAATTGCAAAGCAAGATAGTTCAAGCCGTGATTTGTCATAATTGAATATTGTGAAAAGGTGCAATATTTTAGGCTCAAAGTGTCCCACTCTAATCAGCTAATTAAGCCATAACACCTGCAAAGGGTTCCAGGGATGGATTGTCAGGAAAAGGCCATTCAAAAGTGTTTGGGACTTTCACAAGGAGTGGACTGAGACTGGAGTCAGTGCATCAAGAGCCACCACACACAGATGGATCCTGGACATGGGCTTCAAATGTCGTATTCCTCTTGACAAGTCGCTGCTGAACAAGAAACAACGTCAGAAGCGTCTTAGCTGGGCTAAAGAAAAACAGACCTGGTCTGTTGCTCAGTGGTCCAAAGTCCTCTTTTCTGATGAGAGCAACCTTTGCATCTCATTTGGAAACCAAGGACCCAGAGTATGGAGGAAGAATGGAGAGGCACACACTGCAAGATACTTAAAGACCAGTGTGAAGTTTCCACAGCCTGTGTTGATTTGGGGAGCCATGTCATCTGCTGGCGTTGGTCCAATGTGCTTCATTAATTCCAGGATCAACGCAGCCGTCTACCAGGAGATTTTGGAGCACTTCATGCTTCCTTCCGCAGACGAGCTTTATGGAGATGCTGACTTCATTTTCCAGCAGGACTTGGCACCTGCCTCACTGCCAAAAGCACCAAAACCTGGTTCAATGACCGTGGGATTACTGTGCTTGATTGGCCAGCAAACCCGCCTGACCTGAACCCCCTAGAGAATCTATGGGGCATTGCCAAGAGAAAGATGAGAGACATGAGACCAAACAATGCAGAAGAGCTGAAGGCCACTATTGAAACATCCTGGTCTTCCATAACACTTCAGCAGTGCCACAGGCTGATAGCTTCCATGCCACGCCGCATTCAGGCAGTAATTGCTGCAAAAGGGGCCCAAACCAAGTACTGAGTACATATGCATGCTTATACTTTTCAGAGGTCCAATATTGTTTTATGTACAATCCTTGTTTTCATGATTGCATGTAATATTCTAATGTTCTGAGATTGTGGATTTGAGGATTTCATGAGCTGTAAGCCATAATCATCACAATTATGACAAATCACGGCTTGAACTATCTTGCTTTGCATGTAGTTTCACCTTTTAAGTTGCATTACTGAAATAAATGAACTTTTGCACGATATTCTAATTTTTCGAGTTTCACCGGTATGTATGTATGTATGTGTGTGTGTATGTGTATATATATATATACATATATATATATATATATATATATATATATATATAAATCTCCAAAGTAATATGTGTCTGATGTGAAGATTTCACAAAGATTTATGTAATCCTAAAATCTTTTATCCATTTCTTCAAGAACAAATATTTCAACTATATGTAATTCAACAGAGCAATGACTTCAGTCTAAAAATAATAAAGTGTTTTATTCTTAGAATGACAAGTCACTTATTTTGATGTCACTGAATCTGATTACCCTGACTTGAATTGGATAGTTACAGTAGCAGCTGCCCAATCTTGTTTTTTTTGTAAGCCATCTGGAATTTTTTTTTCAAGGTAGACTGGTTGAGACAAGCAAGGGAGGATAATGATTAGAGGGTTTGGAAGATTCAATATGAAAAAATGGTATATTGTATCTTAGTTAGGCCTGGTGAAGTAGGATCACAGGAAAACTCAGATTTGATTGGCACTTAGTAAGGGATTCAATCACTGCAGACATATACTCTCTGAACTCCAACTGGTGGTAGGTTGTAGATTTTTCTGTTGAAACGTGGTGATGGAAGTCAGCTGTGTAAATAAAATTAAAAAAAAAAAAATCCTATTTAGCTATGTTAATGTTTTTAAATTTTAATATCTAAATTATGGGGGGGGGGGGGTTGAAAGTTCATGTTATTCAATTTGTATTTTTTATTCCTGGTTTGTGATCGCAGTACAAGGCTGAAATCCCTTTCTTTTAAAGTGCCAATCCAATCAAAACTTTATATTTTTAGGATAAGGACATTGTGAAAGCTTTAGAACCTTCATCAAGTTTTTGTACCTATGTGTTTCTGTTGTGGTGATTTTTTTCTTCATATCTTCTTTCCCTAGGGTTACTTTCACACTGATCCGCCGTAAAAACATATAGGCGTTTTTACCGTGCTTTTGCCACGCTTTCTGAGCGTTTTTTTAAAAGGACGCGACTTAAGCATGGGGGTGGCAGCATCATGCTTTGGGGCTGTTTCTCCGCAAAGGGACCAGGACGACTGATCCATGTACAGGACAGAATGAATGGGGCCATGTATCGTGAGATTTTGAGTGCAAACCTCCTTCCATCAGCAAGGGCATTGAAGATGAAACGTGTCTGGGTCTTCCAACATGACAATGATCCCAAACATACCGCCCGGGCAACGAAGGAGTGGCTTCGTAAGAAGCATTTTAAGGTCCTGGAGTGGCCTAGCCAGTCTCCAGATCTCAACCCCATAGAAAACCTTTGGAGGGAGTTGAAAGTCTGTGTTGCCCAGCGACAGCCCCAAAACATCACTGCTCTAGAGGAGATCTGCATGGAGGAATGGGCCAACATACCAGCAACAGTGTGTGTGCCAACCTTGTAAAGACTTACAGGAAACGTTTGTCATTGCCAACAAAGGATATATAACAAAGTATTGAGATGAACTTTTGATATTGACCAAATACTTATTTTCCACCATAATTTGCAAATAAATTCTTTCCAAATCAGCCAATGTGATTGTCTGGATTTTTTTTCTCATTTTGTCTCTCCTAGTTGAGGTCTACCTATGATGCCAATTACAGGCCTCTCTCATCTTTTTAAGTGGGAGAACTTGCACAGTTGGTGGCTGACTAAATACTTTTTTGCCCCACTGTATGTGTATATATATATATATATATATATATATATATATATATATATATACATACACGCACACATTATATATTATATTATGCTATATATTATATTATTATGTTATTATAGATCTCATGTAGCAAATACAGCACAAATACAGTATATATACTTCATGTTTTGCCCTTTTTTTCACACAGGGAACTCAAAGAGAAGATCCAACCAGAAATATTAGAACTGATAAAGCAACAAAGACTTAACCGACTTGTAGAAGGAACTTGCTTTCGAAAATTGAACAGTCGAAGGCGACAAGGTATGGTTTTTTTGTTTGTTTTTTTTTCCATAATTTAAGGTGATGGTAAAGTCCCCCTTGTTTACTTGTACCTACAGGTATATAAAGAGGCTTACCTGTAGGTACAATAAATATCTCCTAAACGTGTACCGTTTAGCAGATATTTGCTTTAGTAGCAGCCCATGATGTCATGATGTCCATTGAGAGATCTGTTCCATGGCCGTGTCTCCCGTGTGCATGTGTGGAAGTGATGTCATCAAGGCT